TCTGGAAATACCAGAGTGCTCTTTGTAGGAGTCTGGGTTCCTGCATTTTATGGAAGATAACACTTACAGATAAGATAAATGAAAGTACATGTTAATGATATAAAATGACAGTCATCTGACACCCCCCTTTAATGTCCAGTTACTCAATGCACAAATACCTACCCAAATCCCCACATAATATAAGATTAAGGATGTCCTAGGTCTATAAGAAGAACCAAGACAAGGGGTGCCTGGGTGGGTCAGTCAGTTAAGCATCTGACTTTGGCTCAGGTCATGATGTCACGGTTTGTGAGTTCAAGCCCTGGGTCAGGCTCTGTGCTGCAGCTCAGAGCTTGGAGCTTGTTTCGGATTCTGTGTCTCCCTCTCTCTCTGCCCCTCCTCCGCTTGCACTCTGTCTCTCTCTCTCTCTCTCTCAAAAATAAGTAAACATTTAAAAAAATTTTTTTAAAAAAATGAAGAAGAACCAAGACAAGGAAAGAAAGGGAAAATGGAGGAAGGCAGGGAAGGAGGAAAGGAGGGTAGACTGATCTTGGGTGCATTTCTCTGGAAGAGACCACTGATCATCGTGGTGTCCAATGGCCTACACAGTGTTCTCAGAGGGAACAAGAGCTTCGAAGGCCCAGAGAAGTTAAATGCCTTGCTCTAAGTCACACAGGTAGTGAGTAGCACGGCATCCTTCAGCATACCACACCAGGGCAAGCTAAAATGGAGTAACTTGTAGGAAACAATATTCATGCTGGTTTTCCCCTTGTACTTTTCATTCTCCTTGCAGCCAAAGAAAAGAGCTACTGTCTATTTTTTATTAAGTCATTTGATGTCCTTGTGCCTTTAGTAGGCAAACTTCCCCCAACCAGTCTGTTTCTCAGCTGAACTTTTCTGCCTAATAATAAGGAAAAGAAGTAGTTTCTGTTATAATAGTATCTTATGTGCTGTGTAATAGAAAGGGTACATAACTGTAAGTCAGAACCCTGAATCTTTCTTTCAGCTCCATCGGTGAGGATGGAGGGGTTCTGAGCAAGTCACTTCATCCCTGTGGGCTCCTGTTGTTTCATGTGTAAAATGAAGGGCTTGGCCTAGTTCGGTGGTTCTGGTTGCTTCTTGGATCTCTAAGAGTACGTGGTAGAACCCAAGGAGAAGACAAGGAGGGAGTCTTAACGGGCAAGACTTGAGTTGCCCCATTCCACCTCAGTTTTATATCTTGGGGTTCCTAAGCTAAAAGAAAATCATCTAGAGAATTGCCCAGGAGCCAATAATCTGTGTTTCCAAGCCGTTTGGTTGGTGGTTCTAAAGATAGCTCCATGCCCACTTGCCTCAAGTGAGTAAAATTTTGGATGGACTAAAAATAAAGAATGCTGGTTGGATTTCCAGATTTTTTTCAGAATGGCACAGAGAGAGTAGACTGAGAAAAATACTTTGTGAGTAGGGAATTGTTTCACTTTTCTGCCAAGATTTATTACATAAGCACGTTTTGTCCTTAGAAGCACCAAACCTATTGTGAACATTATCTCACTGTATGTACATCTGCCTTGAGGACATACACTGAAAGATCCATATAGATTGGGGCCACAACATGTCCAACCTGGAACTTTCTAAAAAAGGTCAGTGGACAAGACAAAAGAGTTCCATGTTCCTTGTTTCTTCCTCTAGAATCTTAGCTATATTAGGAATTCATAGATATTATGATGATGAAGACAATTACACTACAAATTAACATTTAAAGAGAATTTCGAGGCAAGTGAATATATCCACCTTTAATCCTGAGCAGCTGCTAAATGGTCTGTTAATAGAAGAACCATAAGAAAACAGAGGTTCTCAAATTTTGTTGCTTAATACTGAAGAAAAATTGTTGCAGCTGCTCAGACTTTTAGCTAACTAAGTAAAAACAGCGATACAGGGACACAAAATAAAATTTAAGGAATGATGTATGGGAATCAAGATAATTGGAATTTTGTTTGTTTACAGATGAGCAAATTGGAAGCTACCATTAGGACTGTCTTTAAGCAAATGAAGATCTTTTGTGAGTTAAAACCATCCTGATCATTTCCTGTATTACTAAAAGGAGGAGGAAAGGGACTTTAATAGAAAAGATCTTGATTTGTTAACAGAAGTGAATTACGATTTTTTTTTGGTAATAAAACACTGAAGCGGCCAAAATAAGGTCACCCTTAGATCTCTTGCCATCCGGCCATCTGTCTTGGACATTTGCCTATTGAAAGGCAAACGGTTGGGAAAAAAGGGATTTTTTTAATCTTTATATCTGTATATGGAGCATGTATAGAAATGTGAGCTGGTGGAACTATTATTAGTATATCACATCTCTAAAATGTTTGATGCTTTTAAAAATCTTTTTCTTCTACATGATTTCATCTGGGGTGTGTGGGGACAGGTTCAGAGGCGGTATCTCCACTGTGCAGGGAAAAGAGCTGAATCACGCATGGGGCCTTTAGAAAAAACAGCAACAAAGAGGTGAAGAGCCTTATCCATGGCCTCATGGAAGTGAGTGACAAGGTCAGGACCAGCCCCATTCCTCATTTGGAGTTATCCTTGTGGCCCCACATTGTGAGAGAGCAGTAAGCAGGCAGTAACTCAGGGGAGGCAGGGGGTTGAATTTTGAAATCTAGAAAGGAACAGGGTGAGGTGGAGGAGGGGCAACGTCTGGTGAAGATTGGTTGGCGACCCAGAGGTCTTTTTTTTTTTTAAGTTTATTTATTTAAATAGGGCTCAAACCCAAGAACTGTGAGACCATGACCTGAGCTGAAACCAAGAGCCGGAGGCTCAACCAACTGAACCACGCAGGCGCCCCATGGATCCAGAGGTCTTTAGGATGGCGGTTGTTACCTCAGAGAATCAACAGCCTTTGGGACCTGGCCCTCATCTATTATCAGGTCCACAGACCTGGAAAGCTTCACTGAACAAAAAGTCACACCAGCAGTTTACTTGCTTATAACAAGAGCGACCCCTTGTCCCAATGCTTGGAATGCTCATGTCCACACAGGGCTGATGAATATGTGTGCAAGGGTAGACGCTGGGGACAAATGACCGGGGCCACCAGGCTGGGAAGGAGACCTGGGCTCGACCAGGTTGCAAATCCATGTAAAACTCCTGTGAAGATGTTTAGCCATCTGCTGAGGCCCTCAAAACTATTTTCTTCCCTGAGGCTCAAACCACGTAGTACTGCTGCGTATGTGCCCATATACCATTCCTAGATCAAGGTGTGTGGTCACTGAAATAATTATAAGGTGTTTGGTGACCACAGAATTGGATGAAGCATGGAGGAACATTTCACAGAAAACTGTATAAAATAGATCTACATCCTGGTGATTAGCTCTCCCAGCATCCTTCAGATACCATATCCCTCCCCCCATCCAGCTGAATGGACTAGACAATTCTGCCCTTGAAAGTACATATTTTAATGCAGACCATACTACCCTCTTACATCCAATGGCCTATTCTTTAAGCACATTAACGTTATTCTGATTTCTTTTCGGGATATTCGGTGATCGTATTGGTGCCATACTCAATTTTAAGGGGACTATAAGTGACGGCAAGGTGTCTGAGGACTTGCCAAATCAAGTCTTGCAGACAAACAACAATAACTGACTCCGTGTCCCTCAACATCTGATCTTCTTGATCTTCTTGTTAATTTTCCTTCAAACAAGGCAAGAGCCACGTTGCTCCTCTCCCACCCACCTCCTTATTCTCCAGTAACAAATTTCTCCCAGTGGCTTAAGGACCCAAGAGGGCAGCTGCTGTAGGACACAGTGATATCTTCTCTTCTCTCCCTTCCTACTCACGGCTCACTTGCTTTGACCGTGCTTTGACCTTGACATGACTACTTTGGGCCTCACTATCCCATCTGCAGAAGGGGGTCTTAGACATGAGAATCTCAAAAATCTTTGCCAACTCTAGATTTGCTGAAGGATTCTCTCAGAAAAAAAGAATCCAAAATGAAGTAGATTGGCATTGGCTTGTTTCTGTTCTTCCTCTTTATTCTATAGCTGCCGAGTCATTTTCTAGGTATTTGAAATGGAGTGAAAAGGTTTCCCATGGGTTTAATTTCAGTTACTCTCTGTGTAATTTTTATTATGAACTTACCCAGGGATCAGTCTCTGTAACTATCCCCCAGGCATAAGTGTCCTTTTAATTCTCAGGAGCTTGGCATCCCACCTACAGTACTCTAATTAAAAACGTGCATTTTGAGAAAAATTTGAAGTTACATCCTTGTACAGTGGAAGAAAGGATCTCTTTAAACTCCTCACAGACATGAGAATGAATCTCACTATTATGAAAAGGTTTTCTTTCTTTTTTTATGTTTATTTATTTATTTTCAGAGAGAGAGAGAACAAGCGGGGAGGGGCAGAGAGAGAAGAGGAGAGAGAATCCCAAGCAGGCCCTGTGCTTTCAGTGCAGATGTGGGGCTCAAACTCATGAACCATTAGATCATGAGATCATGACCTTAGCCAAAATCAATAGTCAGACACTTAACTGTCTGAGCCACCCAGGCACCCCAGAAAGAGATTTTCTATTTACCATGTCAGAATCCACCCCGCACTTTAGAGCTCTTTGGAGTATTATCCCCATGGGTTCTAAATACTGACCTGCATCTATCATCTGTTAGATCCTTCATGAAGGGGCTCAAGTCAGTAAACACCTCCTGAAGAGGTGTTTGTGTCTGACCCAAGTCATCAAGGACCCAAAGGCAGTATATTGTAGATGCTCGGGCTCAGGCTCTGGGGGAGTCAGATGTGATTTAGGTCCAGGTCTCAGAGTGTCCTAACTCCATGACCTCTCTGAGTTTCAGTGTCCTCTTCTACAAAACAGATGGTACCCGCTGCATGGAGTTTTAATGAGAATCAGTGGGGGTAATGCATGCAAACCAAGCACAAAGTCTAGCCCCTAATAAGTTTTTAATCAGTGATATCTACTATAAAATTTAAAAAAGGGAAGATGGCAGATTCAACAATTCAACAGGCATTAACCAAGTGTCTTTATTGTTCCAGGCACTGAATTGTGACTCTGGATGTGTGCTGATAAACAAAGCAGGTAGAGTGGCTGTTCTCACGGGATTTGCAATCTGGTGGGAGCTACAGTCTGTATAAAATAAACAAACCTATAAATATACAATGACATGCCATGGTAGGTGCTGTGAAAGAAATAAACTGGTGCCTTAAAGCACTATGGAAGATAATGTGGGTAGAACCATGTGGACTTTCAAGAGAAGAAAAGAGGTTCACAGCATCAGAATTACCGGGTTTTGTGGGGTGAGGCGATTGGGCAGTCTTCACAGGAGGGAAGAGCCCAGGAAAGCGAAATACACTTATTAGAAGAAAGCTGATTTTTGTTCCCTTATTGACTCACACCATTGTATTTATTTATTTCTTCTTTTTGGAGAGAGAGAGAGAGAGAGAGTAAGCAGAGGAAGAGCAGAAGGAGAAGGAGAAAGAATCCCAAGCAGGCTCCACACTGTCAGTGCAGAGCCCCACACTGGCTCAATCCCACAACCATGAGATGAAGACCTGAGACAAAATCAGGAGTCATATGCTTCATCAACTGAGCCACTCAGGTGGCTCTGACTCACAACATTTAAAAGTTTGGGCATTTATCAAAAATTATCCAGCCCAAATCTTATACATATGGGTAAACTGAGGTATGGGAAGTAAATTGCCTCTAGTCATAAAGCTAGTTAATGAAAGAACAGGATTTTCCTGGGATCTTTTTATCACTGACTCTTACTTCTTCTTAAATATATCAGAACATCCAGGATTTTGTAAAATGATGCTAAAAGTAGTACCTCCATACCTTCTTCTTCCATCACTAATAAAAGTCCCTTTATCTTGATGTTTTTTGGGGAAAGGGGATGCATGGCTGAGACCCTCTGAGAATCCTGCAAACATGTTTTTTATGTCAATGTTTTTGTAAAAAATTCCAGTGTAGTTAACATACAGTGTTATATTAGTTTCAGGTGTACAATATAGTGATTCACCAGTTCCATATATTACTCAGTGCTCATTAAGATAAGTGTACACTTAATCCCCTTCACCTAGTTCATCTATCACCCCACCCACCTCCCGTCTGGTAACAATCTGTTTGTTCTCTGTTGTTAAGAGTCTGTTTCTTTGGTTTGTCTCTCTTTTTTTCCCTTTGTCCATTTGTTTTGCTTCTTAAATTCCACATATGAATGAAATCATATGGTATTTGTTTTTCTCTCACTGGCTTATTTCACTTAGCGTTATATTCTCTAGATCCAACCATGTTGTTGCAAATGGTAAGATTTCATTATTTTTTAATGGCTGAATAATATTCCATTATATATATATATATATGTATTCCATTATATAAATAAAATACTACTTCTTCATCCATTCAACTATCAATGAACACTTCAATTGTTTCCATAGTTTGGCTATTGTAAATAATGCTGTTATAAACATAGGGGTTCATGTATCCCTTTGGTGTTTTCATATTCTTTGGGTAAATACCCAGTAGTGTTATTACTGGATTATAGGGTAGTTGTATTTTTAATTTTTCGAGGAACCTTCACACTGTTTTCCAGAGTGGCTGCAACAGGTTGCATCCCCACCAACAGTGTATGAGGCTTCCTTTTGCTCTACATCCTTACCAACACTTGTTGTTTCTTGAGTTTTTGATTTTAACCATTCTGACAGTTGTGAAGTAATATCTCAGTGTAGTTTTGATTTATATTTCCCTGATAATGAGAGATATTGAACATTATTTCATGTGTCTGTTGGCCATCTCTATGTCTTCTCTGGAGAAATGTCTGTTCATGTCTTCTGCCCATTTTTTAATTGTATTATTTGTGGGGGTTTTTTTTTTGGTGTTGAGTTGTATAAATTCTTTATATATTTTTGATGCTAACCTTTTATCAGATATGTCATTGGCAAATATCCTCTCTCAGTCAGTAGGTTGTCTTTTAGTTTTGTTGGTTGTTTCCTTTGAGAATCCTGCTAATCTTAAACTATTTAAACTTGGGTACTCGCCTACTTCTCCCATCAATACCCAGTTCCCTTTTAAGTGCTCCTCTCTTTGGCAGTTGGGCTATGTTGGAATCATGTTCTCCTGAAATTCCAAGGGTAACGGCTCTAAAGCCCAGAGCTTGAGTCTGGCTGTGTAGGTCTAGGGACACCACCAGCTAAACTCCCCTATCCTATTTTCCACACTACAATGGGACACTGTGCTAACTTCCATGCGTGCCATCCCACCCCAAGTCTGAAAGGGTTCGCATCATGAAGGTAGAGACAAGCTGCTTTCATCACCACCCAGATGTGAGACAGAAATATGTAAGATTCCAGCCAGCCATGAGTTTCCCCTAAGAGAAACTTTATGGGCTTAGATGGATCTAGGTTTGAATCCAGCTCTGCCACTTATTAGCCATGTAACTTTGGACAAGCTACTTATCTCTGATATACTCAGTTTCTGTTTGGACCTAACTTTCAGCATTGTTGTGAGCCAATCGAATAGATACATAAGATAGTACATGGCACATGGCATGTAGTAAGTACATGTTCCCTTTTTTTATTTGATAAGCATGTAATAGGCACTACTCTAAAGGCTTTACAAGTGTTAACTCAGTCCTCCCAGTGAAGAAGAATGCACTGTTGACAGTGGGGGTTGGGAAGTTCCACATGGCATTGGGCTGCACCATAAGGCCTTTGGAAATAGAAAGAGCTTATCCTGCCTAAAAACAATCCACTCTGTCTTTCAAGCAGGAACCAGGGTGTTTTCCTAGACTCCTAGGTAGTAGATGTTCCCCATTCTGTGATGATTAATAATACAGATAATTTCGCTATATACGCCTGCTGGCCACTTACTCTCTAGCATCATCTCTTGCTTTACTTTCTTGACCCATTTCTTTACAGTAGGCCTACATTTGGCTCAGGTCAGTCACATGAATTTACTTGTAGTTCCTGGAGATCCCACTATCTTCACACTTTTCTTCTTTGCCACTCTTCATATGTTTGCCTGGCAACAGCCTTTTAGATCTCATTCCAGTCACTATTTCTGCTTGGCCTTCCCTGACCTCTCTCCTGTGGGTGCCTCTGTACTCTGTCCATGGCTAGACTGTAGAGTTTTGTAAGGGCAAGGACTGTGTCTTACTTAACTTTGTACCTCTAGCATCTAGTCCATTGTTCCATAGTAAGGAAGGAAGGCTGAAGGAAGGAAGAAAAAAGAGAGGGATAAGGAAGGAGGAAAATAGAAAAGGAAGGACGGGAAGGAAAAAGGAAAGGAGAAGAGAAAGAGGGAAGGATAAAATGAAGAAAGGAAGGAAGGAGGAAGGGAGGGAGGGAGAGAAGAAGGAAGGGAGGAAGACATCATCAAGTAATTAACCAGTGGTATCATTAAGGCAACTTTTCTCACTGCTGGTCATTGTTGCTTGCTCTCACTGTCCCTGCCAGGTGGAAATTGGAGATGTGCAAAGGGCAAATGCCAGACTCAAAATGGTTGTCATGTCTTGACATGGTCATTTTTCAGGTATTAGAAGGTAAATCCTCTCCTCTAACATACGCCTTGTCTTCTCTTATTCTCTTGAAAAATAAATAAGACAGGACATTCCCAGAGCACAAGACAGGACTGATGAGCTTAGAGATCAGGACCAATGGCCAGTTCCACTAGCTTGGAGCACCCTGGCTCACTCTTTCATTTAAAAGAGGCAGGAGCAGCAGGGAAGAATGGGTCATGGTCTCTGAAGGAAAAATGTACCAGGCAGGGCTTCTTAGAGTACACGTCACTATGACCTGGGATCCATGTTTTCCTGTACCACCATTAAATGTATCTGTTTTCCATTCCTGAGGTCACTTGCTTGGCATCCAACATCCCCTCACTAAGCTGGAGAGACCAATGGAGAGTAGTAGGGATGAAGTGAGGATATGAGTACACTGAGAGCAGAGAGCTTTCACTCATTCATTGATATATTCATTCATTCATTTATCTATGCACCCATCCATCCATTCTATAAATGTTCCTTTGATGACTAATGTGTGTTGGACATACACTGATGACAAAGGCTTTGCTGATGAGAAGTTCAAAGTTTCTCCCCACCTCTGTGTTTCAAGTTCTTATCTATTGATGAGACATTTAGATACTTTGAGGGTCATAGGTTCCCCATGACTGCAATTCATATTTCAATGAATCCTCCTCTCCCTAAAAATAAGCAAATCTACACAATTTTGCATGTTAGTTCAAGAGACTCAGACACAAAGAAGACCATTCATGAATACCAGGTTAAAAAACCTTTGGACTACAATATTTCTCTGGTGTCTTCCTACCCCAAATTCACTTCTTGATTCTATAATAGAGCTGCCCCAACAGAGACTCCTTTTAAACATGCTACTTTCTAACATTAAACAAAGGTTTCAGTCTTTAACTGAGGCAGGCACTCTGTTTGAAGGCTAAGCAAGGGAACCAACTGGGGAGGAGGATGATGGAGGAGGAGGAAGAGCAAGTACCATGGTCTGCACAGCTCATCCCCTTTTGCACTCACTCCAGCTTTTGGGTTGGCAGGGGGAACAAGAAGTCCTATGTCTGTAGCCCATGTGGCTTAACAGGGAGTTGACTTGGCTGCTGATCCTTCTCCGACTGTCATAGCTCAGTTCCTAATACCTAGGGTTCTGCCTCAGGGATTCAGGTTTTGCTATTCCCAGTTTTATCAAACTTCCCTGGGTTGTTTGTCTTCCCGCCCAGACCTGTTATTCTCCTTGGTATACCACTATTCATCCAGTTCTCAGACTTCAGCTAAAGGCACCCACAGCCTGGCCTCATCATCCCTTCAGGGACTGATCTCCTGGCTGCAGGCCAGCAGAAGTCCCTACACTCTTTTTTTTTTAATTTTTTTTTATGTTTTATTTATTTCTGAGAGAGACAGACAGCATTAGCAGGGGAGGGTCAGAGAGAGAGGGAGATACAGAATCTGAAACAGGCTCCAGACTCTGAGCCAGCTGTCAGCACAGAGCCTGATGCAGGGCTCAAACCCACAAACTGTGAGATCATGACCTGAGCCGAAGTTGGATGCTTAACCGACTGAGCCACCCAGGTACCCCAGAAGTCCCTACACTCTTGATGCCAATTGCTAATGCTGGCTATTTGAGTGTCAGGCATCCCAACATGTACCCCATTCATGCTTCTCTATCTGAAATGTCCCCCTCTGTCATGCCATCCCTGATACACCCTGTCTCCTGCCATCTCCATCTAGAACCCTTGCTAGTCAAATAGTAAATGAAGGATGGAGGAGACAGGACAGAATAGGACCGGATTGAGGCACCTACGGGAGGAAATTTAGGGAGGCCATTGTTCTCAGTGACCCTTGATCTTGAATAACCCAGAGAGGGAGTTCCTCCTTAAATTTTGTACCCTAAACACTTCTCTTGCCACAATCTTGATGAGGTCTTCTAAACCTAGAATAGACTTAAGGCATTCTCTAGACTAGAGTTTTTAATTCCTGGAAGGAAATATTATTTAATTATATATGTGAAATTCTGATGCCAGGAGGGGAAATTCACTGGGAAGAGGAAAACACTTTTTACCAAGTGCAGCAGGGTTCATGGCTGGTGATTAATCTCTTTGTAGAAAATGGCAATTTTAACAGTGACGTGAATAATCACAACTTTTCTTTCCACAGTAGTTTAGAATTTCCTGCTATAATAATTCAGGCCATAATACTTCATTCAAGGAAGGAGAAGTGTCAGCACACTATTCGTTTTCTCTGCATTGACCCATTTGTTTCCTCATAACCTTGATCTGAATCTGCCACCATGCTGGTATACAGTGGCGATTCATGTTGGATATTGACGGAAGCTCTAAAGGGCATCACCAGGAAGGACCTCCACACAAAGAATGATTCCTCAACTAGGTGACAGCTCAATGAGCGAGCAATTCAGTCATGAGTCTCTTGAGCTATGAGGTCCCCTGCTCTTGGATGTTCAAGCCCAGGATCTATGGAAAGGAAAAGTCCCTGGACTAAAGATTAGGTCTCTTGGGTCCCAATCACAGTCCTGTTGCCTAACTTTGCTCAACTTCTTGACTTCTCTGGGCTTTAATTTCCTCATCTGTATAAAGAGAAGACTGGCTAAGTGCTAGACCAACAAAGACAGCTTTGGCTTGAAAATGCTATAGTGCTACTTGGTGTGAATCTCAGGGTTTTAAGCTATTCTTAAGAGTTCTTGGAACTCTTTCCTTTCTTTGTTCTCTGAAAGACTTAGACAACAGCTGTGTGTGTGTTGGGTGGGTGGGGGGTCTAGGTTCATGCCCACATTCACATTCTGGTTTGCCAAGGTGGTTGATAAATGTGGAAATGACTCTGCTACACTTTCATCTCTTGACCTGGACTTAAAGTCTTTCCTTTGCTCCCTCAGGGCATCTTCAGGACGTTCTCACCAGCTTCTCCTCCGCTGAGCTGCCAACTCATGCCTCCCTAAAGGAGGCCTCTTAACCAGCCCACCAGCACCATCTCCTTCCCACTGAGCTTTCTGACTCATAGCTGCAGGGTAGCGTGTAGCACCCTCAGACAAGAATACATCTTGCAAACTGCATTGGGGGCTGCTTCTCTGGACTGCACCTTCTGGATACCAGAACCAAGATGACAACTGGGGTTGAATTCTTCACAGATTAGAGAGCATCTAATTATACCTGGAAGAGTTTTTAGTTCAGAGGGTTTTAAAAATATGTATATATTTTATATGTATGTATGTATACATATTTCATAATAGTCAAACATGACTAATACTTGCTGTATTGTTTCAGTTCTGTCAGTGAAATTGGTTCACTCATATCTGACTGTCTAAAAATCATTATGATTCTAGACTTTGAAGAACAGATTAAGAATAAAGTCTGACACTTTTCTCTGAACGTGATTTTTCTAAAGACTTTTAGAAAACAACAAAGTAAGATAGGACTGGGTAGCAAATAGGTTTTCTCACATCTACCAATACCAATCAATTTAGGGCAGCTTCCTGTGGCTATGTTGGAAAGGATCATGAGACAGTAACTTGGTAGGAAGAAGCACCTAATGGATAAGCAAAGTCTTCTCTAATTAAGGAGGGAGCTGGGCAACATGTGTGCCATTTCTGTGCCATTGGGTGACATCTTTCCTGCTGCTGCTCACCTCATCCTTCTGTTTGAAATCAGGGGGCAAGGCATGATGCTCAATGAACATAAGTATTATCCATGATGGAGGAATGCCACACAAAGCATGATCATTTCAGTGATGAACATCAGATTAGGGAATAAGTCAATATGGTCTTAATTCTGGAGCCTCACCTCCACATCAACATACTTGGTGAATCCAGTTGGAACTGAAGTCATCTTAGTGGGGGATTAAAAAATTCAATTGGGACTTCCTAATAATGACAAGGAAGTTAACAGAGAGGGAAGGTGAGATCCCATACCGTTTGCTATACAATTATGATGCTAATAGCTGTAGATGTTGCAAGTAACAGATAAGCTCTTGTAGGATCCTAATACTCACTGCCATTTACTCCTTACTAAGAAAATGGCAAGCCCTTAGCCAGCCAGCCATTCACTACAGTGAATCTCCCTGGCTAATTCTGTGTGTGCCCTATTTAGATTTAGTTATCTTGGATTACCAGCCCTCTCCCTCTTTACCTCCCAGGACTTTCCCCCCATGTCTCTTTATGCTAGAATGGGCTCTTCCTTCCATAAGGGCCTGGAGCATCCCAAATGGTGAAAGCTCTGTTTCTCCATCTGCTCTTACTTTGGACTTTAAAGAAAGAGTCATCAGTTATATCCCTTATAGCGCTTGATATCTGTCTTTTTAATCGAAAGCTGTTTGAAATTGAAAGAGGTTTCTTTCTCTTCTGATACAGGAAAATATCTCCTTTCCATCCACCCCTCCATCTCCTCCAAATCTTGGGGCTCTTTCAACCTTGTACATCAGGGTGCTTTGCTTTCTGTCTTTCTGCTCTGATCCCTGAGTGACTGGCTGATGGTGTGGCTCTCGGAGAGATTTCACTGGGTGAGAGAAAGACCATAGTTTAAGCTGAATAGGGACCAACAAAGAATTATAAAATTTATAGATTCAATGGCATTTTCAGGGGGGTCAACACCAAGTGTGCTGCTCTCTCCAGCACAGCAGTGACATGTTCAACTGTTCCACTGTAGGGAAAACTGAAGCCATCACGGTTCTCGTGGTCTCACTTCCATGGAAAAAGTGGGGTGGGAGCCTGAGTAGAGGTGACAAGTTGCTCTGCCTGGGGAGGATAATCCCCAGTTTTGACCTGTCTCTTAATTGGACTTGTTTCAGGCTTTAAGAAATGGATGCATGCTCACAGGAGGAAGTAAGAAAGAACAGGAATATGTTTCAACAAGCCTCATGGAAAACTGAACGCTCGTTGAATATTCAATGCATTTCTAACAAAGTGGAACTCCCATGCCCACTCAGACTTTGCTGTTCAGTGACGTTTGTCAGCCAGCAGTGCACTGTCTCTGAGGCAGTGGCACCCGCACCAGGGAATTAATGTAATTCCCCATAGTTACTCTCCTCCTTTTGTTTTCCCATTGCACTGTGTTTTCTCTGAAATGCATCCTCTCGCCTTTCACCACATTGCTCAGGGGTGTCACAGAAGCAGCAGCTGAAACTTCTTCTGGGTCGTGTCTGGTGTATGATGCTGTAGGAACCCAAAGGCTAGTATTTTCTAGCTTTAACCCTTCCTAAGAATATTTGCTTGCTATTTTCTTCTTATTCTCCTCTTTGTCATTGTTCCCTGCTTTGGTGTATTGAATACCTGTTCCCTTTTAGTTTGGATTGGTCAGTCCTCTCTCCTATATACTGAATTGATTAGTCAAGAAATGAAGGTAACATCATCTATGATCTCTGTTACTGAACACCGTTCTGAGTGCATTAGGGGTTAAACTGCATAAAACATGGGCCTCACTTCCACTGTCTCCCCTTCCATGAGCTTTGCACCTGTGAAATAACAGGGAGAGATGTATTTCAGAATATTTTCAAATGCTTGGCACATTTTAGATGTTGCACAACACATACTTGATGGACAAAATAAATGAATGCTTGATCACGTGGTTACACACACAGGGGCTATGGGAGTCCAGACAAGGTATGATGATATAGGCTGGAGAAGACAGGGAGGGCTCCCCTAAAAGGCAGGACAGAGAAGTACTGAAAGGTGTGTTAGGATCTACCTAGGCAGACTTGAAGCGGGGCAGGAGTAATGAGCTAAATGGGAGCCCTCAGTTTTCTGGATGAAAGCTGCTTCTTTGAGTTAGCTATTATGGTGATGACTGCTACTGTCATTATGGGTAAATTTGCTCTAAATAGAAATCTATAATGATCTCAATGAGCACTAAAGAGCGGCTTAGTCATCACGGCCACCAAATGTCGTCACATACATTAAGTGCACCTATGTGTCCAGAAATGTCCCAGCCACCCTGCTAAGTGCACAGCCTCTGGTTAGCTCCCATCATATAGGCTTGAGGATTTGAAAACAGACATGCAAAGGAAACAATCTGACCTTAGAATAAAAGGATAATTTACTCTCTACATCTTTCTAAATTGGATTTTTGCTATTACATATCAGAGAGACTTTTAGATATGAACTGACATTTCATTCATTTAACAATGATATAATATTAAACCGATGGGCATAAAGCAGGGAGAAGAGGGAGGCAAAATTAATAAGTAATTATGATTATTTATCTAATTATAATTATGCTGTGTGCACAAAGGAACAGGGTACTAAGGAGCATAAAACAAGAGACCTGACCTAGTTTGGGGCCAAGAAGGTTTCTTTTAAGTACTTGATTATATAGAAGGATGAGAAAGAGCTGGGCAAATAGTTGGGTGAGGATGATCTGGGATTAAACTGGGAAAAGACCCTCTTTTCCCAAGCCTGGAAGTGCATATTTTGCCAAGTTAGAACTTACTAAACAAACTCTTTCGGCTGTTTTTGACCCTCAAGAGGTTGGCTAAGCAGATGGTACTGTGACCACAGCAGCTGCTCCTGATGTGAGGGGCAAAACACAACTCAGTATCTCCATGCCCCACCTTATGCTTTGGCTTTGACTTTTGGAGTTATGTTGAGTAGAGAGCACAGACGCTCACAGACACACACAGTGCATGGCAGTAGGTATTCACGTCTTCTCCATAGCTGTGTTTTTAACCTTTGCATCCTCAAGCTTTTGAGTCTGCCTGAACATTCCATGCACCGACTTACCTCATAGCAACCTCATCTCTTGCCTCTCTAGCACCCCAAGCTCCCAGGTACCCCTATTCTTTCTTTCCAAGCAGCTTCATGATAAGTTTCTCCCTCCACCCTTTAGAGCACTGACTTTTCAACACATAGAGACTGAGATCTTTGATGCTTCTGCTTCACTCTATAATATGTGATGAAGCTAATAGAGCCAACACTGACAGTGTTCTCAGAGCTGGGGGCCTGACCATGAACAGAGAAGTTTTGGTAGCAGCCATCTTGAACTTGAACTTGAACTTCAGAAGAACTGAGAAACCAAAAGGTCTGAAATGTATTTATAACTGGCTTTCTGAGATGAAGGTTGCTTCTTAACTGGCTCCGTGCCAGCATTTACTGGCTCCATTCTGAGGGTGTCAAGCTGTCGCCGACACAGTCTAGAACTGCAGCAGGGGGCAAGTAGTGAGTGGGAGTCAGGGAAATTTTGTCACAGTTGCTCTCTCAGGCTTAGGTCCCTTACCACTTCCTTGAGGAAGCCTTCTTTGGCTCTCTCAGGTCAGAGTGAGTTCTTTCCCCTCTGTCCTCGCCATACAGCTGTTATTGTACCGCAGTCTACACCGGTGTGCCCGCTTTACATTCATGAGGAGCCACATCTAATTCGCTCCCTTATCTCCACAGCCCAGAATGGTGCCTGGCATAATAGTAGCTTCTCAATGAACTTTGCAAAATGCACAAGGAACTCCTTCTTTGACGCTGAGCAAAATATGAAAAAGATGAAATCCCTTCTGAGTGGTCATCTGATGGCATAGTGATCCCAGACCTAACTGATAGGGCCAGCGGGGATGGGGGCTCCTGAGTGGACGGGGGAGCCCCAGCAAGGAACAGCTGCAGCTGGCCCCGGAGGGGGAACCAGGAGATTGGCATCCTGACTACAGCCCTCCCACAGTGCCTAGTCAGCAAGGGAAAGAGCAATGGAAGGCTCCGGAATCTATGTCGCAGCACCTCAGGGACACCTGCCTTGTAGCCTACCCTTCTTTACACAGTGACAGGGTCGCTCCTTTAGACTTTGCCCTGCTCTTCACCTGTTTGGGCTGTGAGGATCAGCATTATGGACATTACAACGATTGACCATCCCCAGGCTTTTCACTTGGCTCACCCATCTGTGAGCTCCATCTTTAGGAGCTCTCCCCCCTCCTTTCTATGTCTGCAGCACCCTGAGGGGGTGGGTGTCCCTCGCTGTGTTCTCCCCACACTACCCTGGGTAGCCATTGCTCCTCCATTAGGCTGCGAGCTCCATGGGACAGGAAGCACGAGTCCTGAGTCTTGGTGCCTGTCACACATGCCCAATAGATGGTCATTGAAAGAATGGGTAGATGGCTTGTGAATCCTTCCTTCCTCATGTCAGACCTGAGTGTGTTGGGCCAGGTGCAACACGGCGCAGGTCACAACCTCTGACAGTCACAAAGAGAGGCGGGTAGGGTCAGAAAAGAGAGAATTTCACCTTCTCTTTCAACTCTCAGGGGAAAGGGATAAATATAACTCCTAGATGTTTGCACTGTCACCCTGCCCAGGGGAAAAGCTAGGAGGGCTTCATTTCTCTGTAAGACTTCAAGAGGTTTTCCTGCTCCAGAATTTTGTGTTGCCAAGACACTTAGCTTGTCAGACAGTACTCTTCACCCAAAAGCT